GTATGTATATATATATATATATATATATATATATATATATTGTTTAAAATTAATTTATAGATAAAAGTATTTACTTTGAGATAATTTCTACATATTTTTTTTTTATATTTTTTCATAATTTTTATCTTTTAGCATATTATTTCAACAATTTTGAACGATTCAATAAATGTTATAGTCCATGGATATTAGTAACTCTAGTAAAGCTCAAATCAAAATCTAATCAATATTAATAGTAACACAAAAATAATTCATTCAACACTAAGAATGACAATAATATCCAACATTTATTTTTTAGTAATACATTTATTTTGACTTTAGACATTTACAATACATAACCTAATTTAATTTTTCTTTATTGTTTAATCAAGTAATTAATACTTATTAGTCATACTTTAGCCTGATTTAGTACTTTTAAATTATAATCATTTTCATTATAATCTATTAATTTGCAATATTTAATTTTATGATTTATTATTATTTTTTGTTGCACATTTTAGTCTCATCGCCCATTTCATATTTTGTGTTATTTTGGAAAAGAACAGTTTAGATAGTTATATTTTGGTAGGACGAAAGAAATACTTGGAGCACGAATTAATTATAGTTTTATATGATTACTTAAAAAAGAACATCCCCCAAAAATTTGAAAAACTCAAAAAAAGAACTCGAGGTTGAAGAACCTGAGTTTTAATGGTTTGATTTAGTTTATTATTTAAAGTTCAACACAAATGATTTGGCTTAGTATCTAAAAGACCTGAAGTTCGACAAAAATTATCTAAAAATTTATGATTTGGGAATTTCAAATCATAATTTGAGATTTTTCACATACAAAAATTGACTCAAAAGTTTATATTTTATAAAAATAACCCCACATTTATATTTACTAACAAATTACTCACTCCTTTTCAAAAAGAATGACATGATTTGACTTGACACGAAATTTAAGAAAATAAAAAACACTTTTGAATCTTATGGTCTTGAATTAAAGTTATGTGAAATGTACAAAACTGTCATTTAGTCTTGTGGGTACCACGTGAAAAGTTGAAATTAAAATGTTACCAAAAAAAGAAATGATTCATTCTTTTTTAAACAGACTAAAAAGGAAAGGATGTCATTCTTTTTGACATCCTTTTTGCAAATAAAATTTATAATTAATATCATTACTTTTTGAAACATTTATATCTCATATAATGATTATTCTCACTAACTTAGAATTTATTATTACTTCAAATCAATTTCTATTTTACCATTTATATTCATCAAATTTCATTATTTTTTATCAAATATATTTACCAACCAAATTGACCAATAAATCTCAAAATATCAATATTGATTCGTTTTTTTAGTCATATCAACGAGAAATACAAGTTCAACGTGAAAAGATTGATCATACTATGTAAAAAGATTATATTAAATACTAACACCTCAAATTATGTTAAATTTTTTTTTATTGAATTAAAGTTCGATAGAAAAATATTGTATTCTTTAGAAATATCTTTGTGATGGTGTATAATGTGACTTTTTAAACTTGGTGCTTATTTGTGAAGATTGTATAAGGAATGGAGACAATTTTAATAGTTTTACAACTTGTGAGCTTTTTATTATGAGAAAACATATAACATAAAAAGTTGAAATTACATGTCCATACAAAATTTCAACTTCATCTCATGATTTCATATCGTATGGTCAAACGTGTCCTAAGTTTCAAAAACTTGAAATAATATGTTAAAAGATAAAAATTATGAAAAAATATAAGAAATATTAGAAATTATATCAAAGTAAATACTTTATGTATGAAATAAATTTTAAAAATTATAATATATTGTCCGGTTGGTTTGTTATCGGGTTGACTCTTTCTAGTTAAACCAAACCAAACCTAATATGTCAGATTTTTTCCAATACCGAATCATGTCAAACCAAACTATTAGTCGGATTTTTTTTTATTTGACTCGATTTGGCGATTTGATTCGATTTGTACACCTCTATCTATCATCATATGTATTTTTCTAAAATTTTGAATATCATATTATTTTGTTGTTTATCTATTTTCTTTCTTGTAGACTTCCCACTGCTTCTATTAAATCGCTTCACTGTTTTTTTTCTTTTTTGTACATGAATTTTCTGCATTGAGCTAGAAGTCTTCCAAAAACAATTTTTACCTCTATGAGACAGTGGTAAGGTCTATACATACTCTACCCTTTTCAAATTCCAATTGTAAAATTACACTTGATATGTTAGTACTAATCTTAGTATGTAATTACATTTGTGCAACCAAATAGTAAAATTATGAATGCACAGTAATTACATTATAACATATAAACATGACATCGTGATTAATAATAAATACATCAATTTTAATTGTTTGGTGGCTTTCTAAACACTCGTAAAAAATAACTTACCTATATAAGATAAGAATATTTTCCACAACTCTTTCAACCTCACCACCAAACCCCTACTCCCGATACTGTTGGGTCAAGGTTGGATCCGAACCAAATTAAGGGTCAAGGTCATGGGTCGGAGTCTTGATTTGGGTTAGACATTGGGGTCGAAGTTAGGACCTGATTCTTGAACCGAATCCAAACCCAAGACCCGACTTTCGACCCCGACTCTTAACCTCCAACCTGACACTCAACTACTTGACTCCCAATCCAAGTTTTGAACCTGACCCAAAACCCTACTCCCAATTTGACTGAACTCTAGACCCGAGACCGTACTCCCTATTATAGTTATTTTCAAATCTAGTGTTCTAGTATTTTCCCAATAATATCTAAAAATGTTGTTGGGCAATACATTTTCTTCTTACTAATCTAACCCCCGAAAACAAGTTAAAAACTCACTTATTCTAGGGGAAAATATTTTCTTTCATACCAAGAACACCCTAAGTTTAAGTTCATCTGCTTGGCTTGATAAATGATAACAATCACTAGCCCAATCACTATATCAAAAATGAGCTTTAGCGACAATTAATTAGCAATTGCTGCTAAATATGTATTTTAACGGCAATTAACATTCTGTGTGTGTCCTTAAAGGCTTTAGAGACATTGAATCTAATGACACTTAACTAATATCAATAAAGACTTTAACACTATTTATTAATGTATCTATTTATTGACGCTAAAAGTTATTTTTGTTATAGTGTGTCACCCTACCCAATTGACAATTCAAAAGGCACTCTGGGTCATAGTTTGGCAAGACAAAACTTGCTAGGAATTGAATCAATGTGCCCCCTAGTCTTGTGAAACCACAAGTATATTTTATTGGAAAATATGAGACCCCGACCATTAAATTTCATGTCGAAATAGTCTTGAAGTTCATATATATATATATGTGCATTATGCAACTAAAGAAAGAAAATCAACAAAACTTTGGACCTCGCTTTACATATTTACATCACCGTGGTTCGTTCTTTACTGTTCTTCAGCTCTCCACACTTGTCGGAGCAGCTGATATCTAACAACTTTCCGATCACCCCTCCCCTTGGCGATCAAGTTGATCTTTGCTAGATTAGGAGAACCCCGGAATCTATCAGCTACGATTGAACTCAAGGGCGAGTCCAATTCATCAAGCTCATCATCACTGGTGTATGATTTCTTAAGTACTGATGAACTGCTTCTTTGAAAGGATTGGTTTCCAGTCTCTCCCAGAAAGGTTTTAATGGACCTTACTGAAGGAGGTAAATATGTAGTGGGTGATGCAGTGAACGGGACAGTCGAGATAGATTCTTCAGGAGT